AACCCCACTAACTCAATCTGCAGGTGTTGCTTCAATGAAAAATCAAAAATCTGACAATCATTTCCAATCACAAAATTTCGTCTTCTGCAGACTTTATCCTAAAATTCTTAGAGTTCCTTATCGGAGACAATAATAGGCGCTATCACAGTATATGGAGGCATGCTCTAGTACTGAGCCTAGGGGGGGGCGAACTACGCGATAAATGAAAATTGCTCATGCACGCTGGAGTCTCTCCTCCCCGGCCTGAGGTTCAGTTTGAGTTAACAAATAGGAGATGATTTACGCGGTTCCAAATGCATTGCCGCTAGAACGCCCCTGTATCTTGTGATAGCGCCCAGAAGGATAATCTAGAAATCCATACAATCCAACGCTCAAGAAAACAGAACACATTAACAGGTTGATCAACACGACACGACTGTTAATCTTCACATGTTTAACAATTAAGAAAAATAAACGACACGTTATGCTGGCATTCACAGTAACAGTTGATCGAGTTCCTACTGTCCTTCGATTCATAGAGTAGAAACTTCACTGATTGAAGGGATTTGAGAGTGGGCTGCTCACTTCGAAACGTTAAAAAATGGTTATTTAGCTAATATAAAATGGCTACTTTGCAACCACGTTCTTACGACCGTCCTCCAACTTTTTTTGCGCCCAAGGTGGTGAACTTGGAAGGCGCTTCTGGAGACCCTTGCTCTATTTATAAATAAAAATTAACACAGTTCTACTGTACCTACAATATAAACTGAACTAGCCTAAAAAAATACTTTTTATTTTCAAACTTAGACACGCGATGAAACAGAGATGAATAGCATTGACATTTCGTTGCTGCATGAAGCCATCCCTAGACGGCAAATTCAAATCGCAAAATCATTCAAGTACAGATGGCACGCTGATTCCAGTGGAGGTCGAAAACAAAAATTTCACAAAATGAGTGAGGAAGAACTCAAGCCTAAAACTCGCGAAATGCAAGGCTTATTTTGCAAATGGTCTGGGCGTTTGGTCCAGATTCTACGATAGGTAGCATCTCCAGTGTGAATTCAGTGAATGGTTTCTAGCACAAGGACTGCAATCGGACGAGTTCATGAAAGGTTGGTGACGAGATGAAAGATGGAAGTAGAAATTGGTGGGCCTGTGATAAAACGACAAAAAGCGGTTAAAAAAAACAGAAAAATGGGACTACTGCTGTCATGTACCTTGGCAGTGGGCGTGTTCACCGCTAGAATAGGAGTTTACATGAAGCTAAGCGATTGCATTATGAAAACTAGTAGACAATCTTTGCCACAATAGCCAATTTAGCAGCACGCATAGGAGAGAAAACTGACCAACAACGTAAAAGGAGGATTCCATGATAAGTCGGAAGGTTGAAGAAGGGGAAACCTACCTAATGGAGAGACTGAGGGGCCCAGTGCACCCCTCTCGCTCGTGTGTCTGAATCTCTAGCCATTCAGCAGAGAGAGACATTAGCGTTGAAGATGGTAGCACCGCATTGATGCAAAAATCACTGGGCAGAGGAGAGTCCCATTTCTCTAGTTCTAGGCCGTTTTTCTGAGTACAATGTAAAATCCGTCTCTGAAATACGCTTATCCTAGCAGCACTTCCAAGTACCGGCAGTGGGTGTGTATGAGGTGGGGATGTCAAGATCCCTTCGATGCATTATTGCTTCGTTTACAATGCATATTCTACCACGGAAGTGCTACCTGTCATCTACATAGACACTTTCCACTGCGCATATTCCTCTTTCATGAACATCCGATTTGTCGCGATTTTTCTTCACCTAACAGACTAAATTAGCCCCGATCATTCACATCGAAGCTTGGAAGGATTGGCCAAACTAGGCGTTAAGAACTTACGTGAAAAATTTTTAGCGTGGCGAATCAAGCTGCGCCATGAACACCTTGACGACAGCGCATGTTTTCCATCTTCAGTCACATGTGGCTAGCGCAATACTTCCCGTGTGGCTGCCGCAATTCGCATGCGAACCACACTGTCTGATGATGCACGTTTTTTCAAAGATTGAAACCGAAAATAGCGTATAAGAAAGTTGGTTGATTCAAATGCTACCTTCGTATACTGAAAAAGTATACCATTAAAAAAATCACATTATCAAGAATATTTTAAAACCATCGACGACTGTTGTGTGCGTACTGCGGCAACGTTTTTCGTATTCTCTCATCAATAGTATTACCAGTCACCGTTTTCATTATCAGTAATGAAAGAATTGTTTTTCTGGATCCAATAATGTACATGCACCGTTGTGGGATAGGAAAAAACGTCAAAATTAAGGAAGACAGTGCTACATGTGGTATGACATCACATCACACGTCAGTTTGTTAGAGGGAGGATCTATATAAGTGTTGGAGAACTTTCTATATACCAATTATTCATCCTTTAGCTATTTTTAGATTTTATTAGGTTGGTCGATAAGTCTTGCAACAAACTGTCTAGATTTTGATTTTGATGCTTTTGTTATCTTTTTGTCTCACTCACCTAG